TAGATATTATTGATATATATATATATATTTAAAGAATATCATCATCATCATCATCATCATCATCATCATCATAATCAGCATCATCATCATCATTATTATTATTATTATTATTATTATTATTATTATTATTATTATTATTATTATTATTATTGTTATTATTATTATTATCATCACTGTTATCATTTAATTTTCATTAAGTAATATTTCAATGAAAAAAAACTCGTCGCATTAATTTCGTGTCTCATTTGAAATTATTACGCTCTTTAATAAAAATTCAAAAGTCTTCTTATTCTTTTTTTTTAAACATTGAACAAATCAGTCAACCCAAAGTGCAATATTTCTTTGTTAATTTCTTATTTATCTTTAAATTAATTTTGAATTGAGAATTAGTTTTCTAGCAATACAAATAAATATATATATATAAAAAGGAAAAAAAAAGAATGAAACAAATCCAACATATATATAATATATAAAAATGTACAAGAGTATTTAACCGTCGAAGTAATATAACAAATCTTCCCTTTTGTGAATGTTGGCCTTGTAAAAGAGAGAAATAAAATAGAGAATAAATATAAAACTTAAAAAAAAAAAAAATTAATATTGAGACACCGATTAAATCGATAATATCGAATCGAAATAATGCCTATCTCTGTTACTTGATTGAAAGAACGGAAATGTACAACGACGGGATATAGTATTTGATCAATTATTCATTCGACGCTTATTATCTTTATAAAAAACGCAAATAGAAAGAAAGAAATTATACATATATATATATATATATAAGGTGTCCCAATTTGTTTCTACAAAATTTTACCAGCGTATTCGATAAGAAAAGTAAAAACAAAATGTTTTATAAACATGGGCTTTTAATTATAACTTAATTATAACATTTCATTTTAAAAATGGTTTTCATTGTTATGAAATATAAGAAATTAATATAAAAAAAAAAAATTTATTATTGTATTACCAATATATTTTGTTCATTTATTTTCATTTATGGTAAATACTATTTCAAATAATTATTATATAATCAAATAAATACCGGCAATGCATTTTTAATTGACTGTATTAGCAAAACACCAATTTATCATTATCATTTTTGTTATATAAATATTTTTAATTATATAACGTTTAAAAAAATACCCGTGTTTATATTAGATTTGTTTGATTACTGTGTCTTTTTAATTATAATGTGCATTTTGGTAAAATATTGTACTACTGGAACACCCTGTATAATATATAAATATACATAGAAAGAGAGAGAGAGAGACATATACGAATATATGCACACCACTTGCTAACGCACGAATAAGAAAGTAAAAATAAAAAAAAAGTATCAAATGTTAATCGCAAAATAAAAGCGTCCATGATACGTGATATGTCTGTATTTTATGTATTCACGTTAGAAAATTAAGTAAATGCCAAGAAAATAATACCTCGTGCTCTCATTCGAGGTATGTCCGATACATATCATTCCTTGTGGAACAAAATTAATTTTAGGTGTGATATAATTAATATATATATTAATATATATATATATATATGTATATATATGACTGTATATATCGTAACGATCGAAGAAATAACATTATATACATGTATATTAATGTTCATTCAATTGATTCAAAAAATAATTTCATTCAAAATTACATTAAATTTCGATCATAACGATACATACACGTATATATATGCATATATACATTATATTAAAAATTGCAAAACTATGTATATGTATATGCGTTAAGAGTGACAATTAATATTGTTCTGTTAAACAATCTGCGTTTTTTTTTTATAAAATTTCCCCTCTAATGTTATATTATTTTGTACATTGAATTATTTATTTACAAATTATTCGAGGTGATATATATGTTACAGTTAATATATCAAATTTGTTAATTTATGAAATAACTAAATTAGTTAAAATATGTGATATTTTAATTTGAAATTTGATTTGAAATATGAGACAAATATATTTTTCAATTTTATTTCAATACCCTGCCTATAAATTCATTGTTATAAATTCAAAATATAATAAATGTGCGTGAGCAGAATTTTTTTTCGAAGAAAATATAATTTGATATCGTAAATCAATAGAGAAACTTTCCAGATTAGATAATATTGGCTCGGAAAATTTCAAGATTGGAAAAATACCTATATATTTTTTTTCTTCGTATTTACAATAATGCAATTACAGGTAGGGTGACCATTATATACATAATAAATTAAAAAATATTACATGACATATTTTAATCTTATGTTTTTACATACAATTAATCCCTGATCTGTGATTGAATTTGATTTTTCTCTTTCACATTTTCATATAATACATGAATAATAATTATTGTTTACTTTTGTATAAACCCAATGTCAACAGATTTAATTGTAAGTGCATAAAAACAGCAGCGCAAGTGCATTAATCGAATATCAATGGCGCCACAATCGCTATAGATGCAGTTTTGGAGAGGGTGAAGAAACAATGACGATTATTCATCAACAGCAGCTGACCAAAATGTTCTCAGTTAGTTGTTAGCAGCATTCGTAATAGGACTTACGTTCAATTTTTCTTTCTTATTATTTCCTTGGGTACTCTTCTATCTTGATATAACAAAAACAAAACCAAGAAAATTATTACAAATAATTTGATCAACATATTTTCATATTCCTACTAGTTAAAATGTCTAACATAGACGAATATTACTTGGAAATTCTTGGACTGGTTAAAGAAGCCGGCTCGGTAAGCAAATATGTTTCTCAGAATTCCATGTGTTTATATACATTGATCTTCATTTAATCATTTTCTCAAGAATTTCATCAATGAAATACCAACATAATGATATACATTCTGTGTATCAGTTTCCAATCAATTAGGGTACAGCCTTCAATTTAATTATAGTAATTTAATTATATATAACTAATACGTGTTTAACTTTATGAAAGAGATTCTTTCATAGTAAAGAATTTAGTCTTATATCCAGTTTTCTCTTTTTTGATATTATTACGTCATACATCTGCATATGTAGCCAATTAAGCATAATGCATGAGTAATGAGGAAAATTATTCTGAAACATTTTGGAAAATATTATTATTAAATCATAATGAAATTTGATAGATAAATAAATCATTAAAAAATCAATAAAATTTATTTTTAATTTTGTAACTGATATTATATTCCTTAGATTGTAAGAGAAAAGATATATCAACGTAAAGATGCTCAAACAAAATCCTGCGATGTCGATCTCGTTACGGAATGGGATCAAAAAGTTGAAAAACTTATCATGGATGGCATTTATTCCAAATTTCCAGATCACAGGTACGTAAGATACATAATAACATTATTATTAACAATATATATTAAAGATAAACGTAACATTATCGTTAACAAATTCAAATGATCGGTTTTACCGCGTAACTTAACACAATTGGTCAAATGAACGATTGTAAATTGAAATTAAAAAAAGAAATCAAATGACCGATTGTAAATAATGAAATGAAAATTCTTTAATATCAAATTATATATTATTCTACGTTCAGTGATCCCTTGTATATTGAGTTTATTGATTCAATTGACTCTTTTTCTAATTAATGTCTATTGACACTCATATTTCTCCTCTATAAAACGATTAATAGATTTGATCAATTTAATCTAAGGGGAATCCCATAATAATTTCAATCAAAATATTCACGCTAGTAATAAGTTGATAGAATTTCCGTTCAAACTTGTAATACGATGATTTTTCTCGAACATGAATGATATGAAATGATCAATAAAACTTGAATATACCTTGATAATTAACTTGTTTTTAGATTCATTGGTGAGGAGACCACATCAACTGGTAAAAAAGCAGAATTAACTGATGCACCAACATGGATTATAGATCCCATCGATGGAACTATGAATTTTGTTCATGGTTTACCTCACACATGCATATCAGTTTGTTTGCATATAGGAAAAGTTGCGGAAATCGGTGTTGTTTACAATCCTATTTTAGAACAGCTATTTACAGCTCGTAGAGGCAAGGGTGCTTTTTTGAACGGTGCTCCGATACGAGTTTCTGGTCAGAAAGGTGATTTATTTTTAATTAAATCTAAAAAATCGTTATATATATATTAAGAAACTTAAATATATATATGCGTATGATTATCTATATAATTTTCTTATATTAATCACATACCTTTATTTTATTCAACTTTGTTAAAATGGATCCCATTATTTTTACAGAGTTAAGTAAAGCCTTGATCATGACGGAGATGGGTACAAGTAGAGATCTCGAGAAAATGAAGATTGTCTTTCAAAATATTAATATTCTAATACCACAGATTCATGGGTAACATAAAGATGATTTGTAATAAAGTATAAGTGTATTTGAACAATTAATTAATGAGTTTCTTCTTTAGGTTGAGAACATTAGGATCATGTGCTTTGAATATGTGTATGGTGGCACTTGGTGGTGCTGATATTTGTTTCGAATTTGGAATTCATGCTTGGGACATTGCAGCTGGTGATCTTATCGTCAGAGAAGCAGGAGGCGTTTGTATAGATCCAGCAGGTTTACCATAATTTAATTACATTTCTTTTTTTAACTTATACTTTTATGAAAATTTTCAATGTAAAATGTTTCCATCAGGAGGACCATTTGATGTTATGAGCAGAAGAGTATTATGTGCATCTTCTATGGAATTAGCTCAAGAATTAAGTAAACAACTTATACAGTATTACCCGGAACGAGATTGAAGATGCAAATGATTAATAAATGATTATTCTTGTTATTTTATTCCTATAGTATTAACATTTTTTGAGGTTGTTAGTACTTATGCCAAAGATTCCAATTATGTTTTATAATGATACTTATAAAAATTGAAAAATAAAGAGAATATTTTGAATCTTAAATCATATTTCGTTTTCTTCCATTACATTATATTATTATTAGTTGATTATTTGTAATTATTTACCTAGGACAATATTATAATAATAAAATAACAAATTTAAAATTGTATAATATATAAACTATATTTTTGCATAATTACATTTTATACAGATAGTATTTCATTAATCCAAAGTTTTCAATTATATTACTGTAGTTATTGTATAATATATTAAAAATGCATATGCATATATATATATATATATTAATATATTGTACTTTTTCATTGTACGTTTCTTCAGTATTACACATGTGTAATATCCTTTTATTACTCTTAATTAATTATCTGAAAACTCAAAGCCATAGTGATTAGAATATTTATTAAAATTTGAATTATTGTTTGCCATCTTATAAATAATGGGATTGTAAAATTGCAATATTTGAATTATTTTCACGATATATACTTTACCTGCATACGTACTTACAGTTTTAGTTTTCCTTAATGAGTCTTTTAAGACAAACCTTGCACCAGCTCAAATTAGTTCGATCTTTGATGATCCAATTTTTTGGATGACTCGACGATGATATCTTGTTTAAGCAGGTTTGATGACACATGGCGCAGTATTTATCATTCCTTTAGGACACCCTTTCATTATTCCTTCTCAGCATCTGATCTCTTCCGTTGCCTCCCCTCCTCACAGGGAGGGCTATAAGTGAAACATTACCAAATTGTCAATTAGAAAAGCATATGTTAAAGTTGTTATTTGGATATATTCTTTTTATTTCTGTATAAATATATATGTATATATTGAAATGTGCTTAAAATTTCTACTTGTCCTCCTAATACACAAATTTTATATTTTTGATTACAATATACGCGAGGGCTTTTCATCATTAATATTATTATTATTATTATAATTATTATTATGTCGTATTATTATTATTGTTATTATTATTGTTATTATTAATTATTACTATTATTAATATTAATATTAATATTATTTTTAGTATTATTATTGAGATATTGTTTGTTGTTCGTTAGAAAAATTATGAAGTATAAATTTTGTCTAGATTACACACAACATTGTTTATGACTGTCAATAAACTATGTACGATATGTTACAAGAATCGGATATATTAAATATCCCATAAGGCAGCCCCCTATGAATACCTTGCAACGGGATCAGCGCTAAAGGCCCTTGAAAGGTCCGCTTGCACATAAAGATGATTCGAATTGATGATTCATCTGAAACATAAGCAGCCTCGTACAGTTTTCCCTTATTAAAAATTATTCCATGAACCATTTAAACAGCACTGAAAGTCTGCTCTATTTTTGTATATTAAATAATAACTTAATAGTTTTTGTTTTTTTTTTAAATAAAATATATCAATTAAATTATTTTCATTCTTAAAACTATAAATGTTTTTATGTATTACAGAAATGTGTATATCCTGTAATATAATTTGTTGTACGTTTCTAGAAAATATCCTATAACATGAAATAATATATATATATTATGAGATATATATATATATATATATATATATATATATATATATTATATATTTCATATAATAATATATAGTTATGATATATATATATATATATATCTATGTTTATGTTTTGATTAACTTTTGAAATTGTTTACTGAACTTTGAATAAAAAATATTTTCGATTCACGTTTATGTTTATACGTGTATATAATTATATTATATATATTAATTTATATATTAATAATTTTGTGTTTGAGTTATTGAAGATCGATTAACAATATGATAAATCTATTATGTCGTTCCATTAAAATATAAACTATATATGCTTATAAGTTCATTAATACAACAAGAAAACACACGTAGATCATTTTTGTAACTAACACTTAAAACGCAATAAACTCGTAAATGAGATATAGTGACTGAAAATATAAAATGCAGGGCTCTCTCCACTTTTCTGTTAAGCATTTGTATTTTTATTTCAATAGTTGATCTACTTATTATACAATTTTTTTGTTATTTTTTGTTTTGTTTGTTTTTCTTCAGATTATACACCAAGTTTTCCTTTTTTTTCGCTGAGGTTTCTAATAGCGAATCGCTAACGTAAGAGAACAACAAAAAAATACCGGTTCCTGAACTGGATTAGTGAAATTTTGTGAGTCTTACAATCTCTTGTTATTTTTTTTCGTTTTTTTTTTGCGTTTCATAACAAATATTTAATAATTATATATCGTATAATAATTTATAAGAATTAACTATCCGTATGAGGAAGTCGCGCTTTAAATCGAAAAAGTGAAAAAAGAAAATTACCACATACCACCATAATGCTAAGTATCGATGGCCAGTTCATGCTGAAAGAGGCGGTCACTTTTTCCAGTCTGACTCATTCACCTAAGAACAACGTTACTTTTAGGTAACAAATATTTATAAGATTGATAAGAATATCTTTTCTTTTTTTTGTCTTTTTTCTTTTCTTCTTTTCTTTTTTCAACACGAGCTCGTTACCTTTTTGTTCAAATTCATAATAATAATTATTATTTGAAGATTAAAATAAAAAAAAAATACAAATATAATGTAATTACGTACGTAATATGTTATTAATTCTGTGTGAATAATTTTTTTTTTTAATAAATAAAATCCTACGTTTCCGGATATAATTGCAGGCTGTAGATAAGAATTTACTTCATTATGTTTTATAAAAAAATATTGCACTCTATTGACCTGTATTTAGTACTTAACAATCTATTAAATACATTATTTCAGATTGATAGAGTACAAGAGAAGGTTGTTGTTGCAATATAATGATATATGCATTATAAATATTTACTGCTTTATGCTCTTCGTTGTCTTGATTGAGTTACACTTGAAACTTTGCGCCGCCTCTTTCTGCTAAAACCAATACAGACAGTTCATGTAAGACAGACACCATTTTAAGCTAGCAATATCCGTATTTGATATTTTTAATAATATCCGATTTGTTTTGGATTATCGTTAGCGGTGTCTCATTTTCAAATTCACAAATTTATGTCAATTATTTTTCTGTTGTAGAAGGACCCCTAGGCAGGGTTACCTAAATTTTTTCTTGTATAAAAGGGTGTGCCAGAGCATGGTTCACAGTGATTCTTTTCCCCGCATCCAACATCAACGTGCGTTCTAATAAATCTTTAAGCTGACCAACTTTCCGACATTGTTCAGGTGGTAATGAATTTCCACCGAGTTCTGCATTAAGGTCACGAGTTGCTGGTAGGGTGGACATTACGACGATTTTTTCCTAAAAATAAACACATTGAACAACCTATTCTATTTATAAAATTATAACGTCACGCAACTGACTCGTGAACCAATTTTATTATATAAATACGAGATAAATTTGTATATATGAATAAAATATTATTTAACAAATATAAAATACAGCTTACCATACAAGAATACGTATAATCATAGAGAAAAAATTGTAAAGAGACTTACCCGTTCAGTAACTTTATCAACTTCATGATAAAGAAAATTGCAGTTAGAGTCAAAGTGTTGATCCTTGAAGGTTCCTTTTCTTATTAGTTTATTAGGCATTTTGCCTTTTAGGTCCATGAAGAACTTTAGCATCTGATTGTTTGTTTTGCCAGAAAACATTATTTTTCCAGTATATAGCTCATATATCGTGCATCCAACAGACCACATGTCAATGCCAAAATCATATGGTATACCAAGAACTAAAAAAAGGAAATATTATCTCTGATACATAATAAAAATTCTATAGCAGCAAACACATGTTTCCTATATAAAGATCTATAAGTCTGTCCAACAAGTTGAGCCATTAGAAATTAAAATTTTAAATACAAATAAATGTAAATAAATTTGATGTGTGTGATATTTGAAAATTGTATATACATTTCTGTTATAATTATGTGTTGCTGTTGTTGTTTATTTCTACTGACTCGACTTTTTGGATAAATAATAAATTTGAAATTCTTGATAATATTAGTGTACCAAAGTTTCATTCTAATTGGATCATTTGAAAAAGTTAGAAATTGAAATTAAAATTAAGATAGCTATAGGAGACTAATAATCTACCTTCTCTCATAAATTATAATAATATTTTCTTCATTGTCACTCTGTCTTAAGATGATCACGCATTATAAGGTTGTCTATCCTGTCTATCCAGATAATTTTATTCGTAACACTGACTGATTATAGTTTATTTCCATTTACATAAATATATATGGAATATATATAATTAATTAATATACTTACTAATTTCAGGAGCACGGTAAAATCTTGATACAAGATACGGCGTTATCTCATTTTCATGTGCATGAGATGCAGAACCAAAGTCACAAAGTTTTAATACCAGTTTACTTTCACTGACTAGAATATTGTCTGGTTTAATGTCAGCGTGTAAAATATTCGCTCGTTTTAATAATTTTAATGCAAGGAATAGTTGTTGCGTGTACGATCTTACAGCCTTAACATGCAAACCAACATCTTTGCCATATTTTTTTAATACCTGTAAAATATAAAAGAAAATAAAAATATATTTATAATTTATTTATACTTATATGATATACTTTTCAATTTTTTGTCTACATACCTCTCTTAAATTCATTGCTAATGGTTCAAATACCATACATAAATGATTTTTATGAAAGAAATGCCTACATAATCTCAAACAATGAAATCGATCTTCTGGATCTGCATCGTTAAGCTTCCGGAGAATTTCTAATTCCTTTAGACCAGTGCGATGCCTGTAAAAAAATACACAAAAACAATTTAATCAAATTGATCATACACTTGTATAAGATTTATGAATATTATAAGATAAATAAATTTCTTACATAATTTCATTATTACGAATAATTTTCACGGCAACATCTGAATTGCCTCGGACACTGTCTCTAGCCCTTACGACATTGCTAAAAACCCCTTGTCCCGTGTAACCATAAACAACATATCGAGAATCCAATGTCTCGCCAACTCGAACCCTAAAATTGATATAATTACATTATTCGATTAATCTTATTTAAAAAAAAAAAAACTTTTGAAGTTGTAAAAACACTTTTATAAGTTTTAAAACATTTTACCGATAATATCCTTCCGCATCGTCCCAATTATCTGTTAAACTAGGATTGTCTGGACCACCTAAACGTTTACCTTCAACGGTAGGACTCTAAAAAAGAATAAAAAATAAAAACAAAGTTATATTGAAATTATGATAATATTTAGAATATTTCTACAAAACATACGTACATTAAAATCACCAATATTATCAGCTTCAGCAAACATATCCCATTCATTTGTTCTTTTTGTACTTTGTTTTTCATCTTGTTTAACTTTCTCTGTAATTTTTGTATTTTCAATCTTTTCAGATTCTTCAGGTAATGCATCCTCAAATCTAGATTTTCTTTTTTTAACTGGTTGTGGCGATTTTGGTTTTTCAGGCAGTGGTGGAGTATGACTCTCTGAAGTAGATTCATTATTATTTGAAGGCATCTCTGGTGATTTTTGAGATGTATTTGAATGACTTTCTGACGGAGGAGTTCCAGTGACAGCTGTTACATCAGCAGACATATTTGAATCCTCATTTGGTCCATTTAATCGCTAAAAAAACATAAGATATTACGTAAAATAAGTGAAACAATATTTAATAAGATTCTTAAATTGATAATAATGAAATACCTTGAGTAACTCTTCTCTTTGTTTTCTCCTACGTTCAATAATAGCTTCCTCATCTTCCTCTTCTTCAATATCGATATCCTTCATATCTTCTTCGCTAGAACTGTCAGAACGTTCTACTTTTAGGCCTTCCGACAAAGAATCTTTGTACTTATCACTTCTTTCTTTTTTACCATTCTTTTCTCTATCCCTGTCATGATCACGAATGTGTTTTTCCCTATCCCTACGACTTCGGGACAAAGAACGCGATCTTTTATAACGATCATTGCGATCTCTATCCATTCTATTTCTAATGGGACTACGAGATCTTCTTATACTTCTAGACCGTTCTCTAATTTTCTCATGATTCCGATTATCACGTCGATCTCGTGGGTCCTTATCACGACTGGCTTGTCTATCTCTATTTGAATGACGATCTCGACTAGTATGTCGTTCTCTACTGTCTCTTTTATCACGACTGGAATGTCGATCTTTACTTAATGCTCTGTCACGATTATAACGATCGCGACTATTATGCCGATCTCGACTTGATTGCCGATCTCGACTGCTTTGACGATCCCGATTGTCTCCTCTATCACGACTATCGCGTCTCGATGAAATATGTTTTATATCAACTTTATTATCTTGATTTTTCGAATCATTATGAGATCTAGATAAATGTCGACCCAAGTCTCGTTTTCTGTCTCCTCGTTCTTCCTCCCTATAATAAAATAATAATAATAATAATGGTAACATTGATGACATTAATTAAATAACACTAATACGTTTATACGGTACTTTATATTCAAATAAATGCAGATTTACCTTCTATCATATTCTCTTTTACGTGGTTCATCTCTTCTACTACTACTACTAGTTTCTTTACGTCTATCTTCTTCTATCCTTTTCCTAGAATCTTCTTTCCTAGAATCATCCTTGTGCCTCTCGTTAGTTTTTCGTTTATCATCTCTTCTCGTATCATCTCTTTTTATTTCTTCTCTTGGCCGTGTTTTATCCTCTCGTCTTCTGTCAGAATCCCTTCGTTTTTCTTTGTGATCTTCTCTACTTCTTCGATCTCTACTCATATCAACTACAACTCGTCTTTCAGGTTTTGACATTTTTTTACGTTCCCTACTTCCTGACTTACTTCTAGGTCGTTTTTTGTGGAGTATATTGTCATCTTCACTATCATCTTCTACGACTATTACATCTGGAGTTTCAGCTTTTGTTTCTTCATCATCCTCTCCTTCATCTTCTTCCTCTTCACCTTCTTCTTCTTCCTCCTCTTCTTCTTCTTCTTCGATTTCCTTATCTTCCTTTTCGGATTCATCTGACAAATATTGAACTAAACACGCTTGTAATCGTTCCTAAAAAAATATAAATTATAATATTTAAATATATATATATATATATATATATATATATATATATATATATATATATATATATATATATACCTTATATACCTCAATTATGTTAAGTTTATACCTTTTGTTTCATTAATTCTTCTAAATCAATATCATCTTCAATAATAGTACAATCGACTTCATCCGAATCAAGATCCACAAGTTTTTCATCTTCACTTTCTTCTGTAGAAATTATTTCTAACAATGAATTTTTCACTTTACCATTCAAACCAATTTCTTTTTGATTAATACGTTGCGACGACGTTTTCTCTTCCAACGCACCATTTTCTATTTCTTTTTCTTTACGTGGTCTTTTATGTTTCTTGTGTTTCTTTCTATAAATTCATTAAATGTAATATTTTAAACTTTTATATTTATTAAAAAAGCAAATTTAACACTAAATGTACCATGACTATTCAAATAACCTTATTAGCATAAATGATATATTTTTTTGCTATACATACATTGGAAAATATATGACTTTTTAAAGATGGGTCATTTGATCCGCTACGATAAAAATAGGTATACATAAAGCAAATCAGTACGTTTAGTGTTAATATATATAAAAGATGTTTATAATATGTATTTTAATATAATTTAAATACCTTTCTTGTCTATCTATTCTTCCATCTTCTTTCTCTATCACTCTATCTTTTTTATGTTTGTGATGTTTGTGTTTTCTTTTTTTCTTTTTCCTTTGATCCCCGATCATATCTGATTCAGAGTCTACACCAGTAATTTCCCTTTTGGAATCTAAATCTTCTATATCTGATGAGCTAAAATATATTGCTTACATATTATAAAATTGATATAAGATAAATTTCATTATTACTATTAATTTCAATAAAAAGTAATAAATACTGTAATACAATGGATAATTAAATTAAGATTTAAAATATTAATAAATAATTGACGGTTTTCCTTTGTAGCAGTCTAGTGAAAGATATCACGATTACAAACAATCACTTTTAGGTTATTATTGAATAAATATTTAAAGAAAAATTTGTAAAAATGATTTTTTTTTTATCAAATATAAGTATTATTTAATCGATATAATTATAAACGTATCAAACTTTGTACAATGTTTCATTCGTAAAAATCTAAAAACAAACAGTTCTGCCACAAATGTGATGTAAACAGAATGCCAGATGAATATCCTTCTATACTGAACGAATCAATTGTTCAAAAAATCTGTATAAATTCTATATAACGTAAAAAAGTCTACTTACCCCATGTTGATGTTATATAAATTATAAATAATGAAAATATTATGGAATCAATCCACTTGATAATACGCATACGTTCATTCTTCAACAAGACGCCATTTTGTATTATCGATTCTTCTGTTGCTCAACCTCGAATAAGAAATCGACTATCGATATAATTTCATTTCGATTATTGCGATTAATTTAAACGATTCGAATTACGAATTTTTTAATTAACAATCATTATCATAAAAAATACAGTAAAAAAATATGTCGGACAGTAGTACAATAATTAAAAATTCAATTTTATTTATTATCGGACGAAAATTTCATATTTTTATGTTAAAATCGAACAAATATTAATTGCATTATGCGAGTTTAAAGTGACTGCAATTTTCGAGATGCAACGAGTCAAATGACGACACTCACAGTTTAACTGACAATTTACAGATATGTATAAATAATTATTTATAACAAATGATTAATAAAAAATTCAACAAGATTTATAAAATATATTCCACTGATTAAATTTCTTCCAAAAAATTCTTTCATTTTTAAATTCCCGCGCGTTTTCAAAATTTCGTACCACGGTGCATTGTACGTCCATTTTAAATGCAGTAAACAAAAAACGAGTCGAACAAAAGAGAAGGGTGAAAGAGTATTGAAAAATAAACAAGGTAAACTATAATATGTTTATAATTTGATATAATTTAATTCATAAAATATTTTACAATGTAATATTTAACGAGCAATGTAACACATCGTTGTTATTATATTGGTGATGTTGTTTAGCACCTATATTTTACGTCTCGCGATAATACCAAAGATGTGTGACATTTAAAATCTCGTTTTTAAATCGACAATTACGAGCAGTCCTTTAAAATGTTGATTACGAAATAATCAACGATAATCAATAATTAATATAGTTATTATATCTATCGGCAATGATAATAAGTAATATTAAATATAGATTACATATTAATAATAAATACTTAAAATTAATACTCCCAAACAACTCTAATAATAAGTGACTGAACGTTGCCTACCGTATGCAACATTCTTGGGCGGAGATATATATGACGAAGGGAAAAGGGAAAAGGGTGTAAAGGTAGTTCAACTTTCAATCGTTCAATTATCGTACCATTCGTATCACGTTTTTCAATAAGAGAAGTATTCAAAGGACACTTCCGAGTTGTTGCATTATCGTTCTCCTTTTAAAATATTTTTCGTAGGAAATCGAAAAAGCAGTCCGTTGTTTCTCTTTTTTGTTTTCTAGTTAGTCAAGATTTGTAAATATGAATTTAGTTTGTTCGACCTGTCACAATCTTTCAAAAAGATATTATTTTACAAAATTCTTAATAAATAAACATATTTGATTTAATCGTATAATGTAATCTCATTGTGTAGTATGTAATCTCTACTTTGACTAGTTTTTACACTCGTCCAATATGTTTTAGTTCATAAAATACCAAAGAAAAGGAAGTTAACCTATAATATTTACTTTTATGGAAGAACTGTAAGTGACATGTGTTGTCAGCATAAAAAAAAAGCTCGTAGGTTATTATTCTTCTTGTGTTTATCTTCTTTCATTTTTTCTTATAAATCAAAATAAAAATATTCTTTTGGTTTCTAACCTTGATTGAAGTTTTGTCCGTTGCATTTGATTAACGACAAGTATCAAATGCAATCTTGACGAGAAATAGATTCTCATAGAAATAATAGAATAATCGTTTAAAATTGTAGAAATGCTTATTTGAATAGTTTCTTAGCATTATGCCAAATGCGGAAAAAGTATTCATCCTTTCTAAGAAGTCTTCCTCTAGCATAAGAATGAATATCAGCATCCATGTTATGCTCTCGTAGCCAGGAACTTGTATTTTCTGTGCTGAAACTCACAGACGCAGGCTCACCTTTGTCCGTTGCTTCTGCGACTGGTTCCACCACTGCTAATTCTAAGATACAAAAAAATATTACATGCATGAGTTTATAAAACTTAATATTAATATTATGTTAAACTCTGAGTCTCTTTTGTTGAGTTTCATTCAACATGGCATACATGATCTGAATGCAAAGTATATTCAAAGTCATTAGTAATTTAATGTTAATATAATTGTATTAATTTATAATATAAAACATATATCATACCTGAAGGTGGTAGTATTTTAAAAGGCTCATCTGACTCCAATGGTTCACTGAGACCAACCTCATTTCTAACATAAATCCTCACTAGATACTCATGATTCTCCTGAAGATCTTTTATATTTATCTTTAATATATCAGCCTTGACTCGTCCTACTTCAATCCACATAGTCTTTTTAGCATCTCTCATAACAATTCTATATCCTTCTAAAGGTGCACCACCATCTGATTCTGGTCTACCCCATTCTATAACCACTGTATTTGCAGCTATTTGTCTGATTTCTAATGGGGCAGTAGGTGCTGATGGTACAGCTAATAGAAGTAAAGATTTTATTAGAATAGTATATAAATCTATTTCATTAAATTAATAATTATTATAGGTATACATACTAGCATGAGTTTTAAGAGTAACTGGTTCTGAGTTTGTAGGTAAACTGAGACCCATACTGTTCTCAGCAAATACTCTGAACAAAAATTCACTTTCCTTCAAATTTTCAATGCAATATTGGTGAGTTGTAGCTTCCAAAGTAACGACCTTTATCCATCTTGAACCTTTACCAATTAATGGTCGTTTTTCGATAATGTAACCTGTTGGATATTTGAAGAAGAAATATATATGTATATAAATATACACATATAATATTATTTTATAATAAATTAGAGAATAAATTTATTCATTACCTGTAAGTTCTGTTCCTCCATTATTAGCTGGCGGGAACCATGTAAGTGTTACACTTTTACTTGTAAAGTTTATTACTTTGACATTGAGCGGACTAGATGGTGGAGCTAAAAATATAGAATATATATTTATTACATTGTTCTATAAATTAGTTTGTTATTATTATTATATTAAAAATGATTAATATTAACTTTGTGATGAGCATATTAAAACAAGCAATCTACTTACTTTTACTTAAAACAACTTTTGATGGTGGAAATATGCCTAGTAATGCATATAAGCTGCTATCTGTAAGCTTTGTTATTTCTAAGCAAAAGCAAAAGCAAAAGTATAAGCATTAAAGTAGCAAAATTTTAATAAATAATAAGAAATAATTTTATAAGCGTAGCAATGATTTTCTACAGTCGTAAATTACATTTTTTTATATTCATTAATTTATTTTATAATTATTATTACTTACTTGCTCTCTTGCCAGCTACTATTGGTTCCTCGGAGATGTACGGTTCACTTATTCCAATTTTATTTCTTGCTGTTATTCTAAAATCGTATGCCATATCGGTTTTTAGGTTTGATACGCTGATGTTTGTCACCTCAGCCTTTGTGTTGCCCACCTATAATTCAATTATTTTTTATTTAATTCTATATTTTCAAAATAAACATTTGAGATTTTTATAATTTATGTATATATACCTTTTGCCATGTTTTCTTTGATGACTCTGTCATTTCAACGGTGTAATCTATGATTGGCGAACCACCATCATTTTCTGGAGCTTGCCATTTTATTGTGAATGATGTTTTAGTCATACCAGAAACCTCTAAAGGTCCTCTTGGTGGTCCAGGTGGATCTATGAAAATTAAATAGAAACAAAGAATAGAATATAATAATATAAATATAAATATATTAAGTATTTGTAAATATAATCTAAGACTATGTACCATGGGTCTTTCTTGTCTTTACTGGTTCAGATTCTAAAGGTTCTGATGCACCTACAGAATTTTTAGCAATTACTCTGAACATATATTCTACTTCTAATTGTAACTTTTGTACACAGAAACTTTCTATGTCTTTATCAACGTCAGCTACTTTCGTCCAATCCATCTTAGATGTTTCACATTTTTCAATAGTATATTTTTCTATTTCAATACCACCGTCATCAATTGGTGCTTTCCATTCAACTGTGATACGATCTTGCCTGATTTCTTTTGTAATTATCGGTCCTTGAGGTTTACCTGGTTTATCTAAAAAATAAAATTATTTCAAATGTAAAATATAATTGATAAAAAGATATAAGTTATTTGTCATTTTTATTTACCTATAACTTTGAGGTGAACATCTAGAGAAGAAGTACCAACTTCATTAATTGCTTCTGCTGTATAGGTACCAGTATCTTCTCTGATAATAGAGTTAATAGAAATAGTAGAAATTTTCTCTACAGTATGAGTTGATACTCGTTTATCCATTATCTTTTGACTATTCTTCGCCCATGATACTTCTGGTGTTGGGAAACCACTGGTTTGAACATCAATCTTCCATTCTGAACTAACAGGTAGTTTTTGATTCGCCAATGTTTCATCGACAGTCAATTTTGGTGGCTCTTGTATCTTCAATTCACATGTGGTTTCTGCAGTACCAACTTCATTTTCTGCTTTTACAGTAAATGTTGCTGAAGATGTTTCTGTTGTTTCCAAAATTGTATATTTTGCAACACGATTTTCATAAGTCATATTAGCATTAGCAAACGGTTGATTATTCTTGAACCTAATGGAAAAAAATTCAAATAATGAATAATTCATATATTATAAATATTTATATGTAATATATATAATAATTGTATGAATAAAATTACATACCACGTAATTTCCGGTGCTGGTGATCCACCAATAACACAAGAAAGTGTTACACTTTGTTTTAAACCTACACTTACACTTTTCAGTGGTTCTAAAATAATTGGTGGCTCTAATTCTGATGGTTTTACAATTTTGAAATATGGTGATTCTGAAGATGATTCGCTAAGACCTATTTTATTAACAGCTGTTACACGGAAAGTATATTCCTTGTTTGTTGTTAATTTTGTTACTTTATGACTTGTTTCGGTAATCTTTTCTGTAACTTTGATCCATCTAAAAATAAGCAATTGCATATATGTAAAAATTGTAATAAAAAATTATGAATCATGTAAAGATATATACAATAATAATATTTTTTAGAATACTTACGAAGTTTCAACTTTCTCATGGTATTCTAAAATGTATTCTGTAATTGGCAAGTTTCCATCTGATTCTGGTTTTTTCCAATGTAATGTAATGCTTTCATCTGTTAATTCTAAAGGTTCTGGAGTACCTGGTTTGCTGGGTGGTTCTGAATATAAATAATTTTTTTTAAGTAAGCAGTTAATGTGTAGAATTATCTCAAATTTATGATATAGAAATCCATTATTATTTGCATTAAAGGTTTTTACTTACGAGCAATTGTAACACTTATTACTATAGAAGTATCACCATGTGGGTTGAATAGTCTCAAGTTGTAATCACCAACATCTTCTTCCTGTACTTTTGTAATAGTTAACACAGCAGATTCTTCATCTATCGAAGGAGTAATTCTCTTAGATTTTGTAACAATACGACCATCAACAGTCCATTCATCTGTTGGCATTGGTGTTGCTGTGAATTTAACTATAATTTCGATGTCATCTTCTTTGTTCACTGTATATTTCGTCTGAGTATTTGGATTAATCTTTGGTGGTGTTTCTATAACTTCAACTTTTAATCTTGATGATGTTTTTACATTTGTTACAACAGCTGTGTATTCTGCAATATCTTCTGTCGTACATTTTTTCACGATTAGTTTCTTTACATTATCCTCATCAATAATAACATATTTTTCAGACTTTTTGATGATTTCTCCTTTTCTATAAAATCAAAATTTTATTACAATTGTAAAATGCATAAGATTTATATGCAATATGTAAAAAGAAAATAATTATTATATATACCTTAACCATGTGACTGGAATATTTGATTGAGATATTTCAATAAGGAAAGTAGCATCTTTATTCAATGGTACCAACGTAACATCTGGTAATTTAGCAATAAAATCTACACCAGGTTCTTCGACAATTAATTTAGCTGAAGATGTTTGTTCTCCAACTTGACAAGAATAGACACCTGCATCTTCAGATTCTGTATCATAGATCTTCAATTTTTGTCTCTTGCCATCGATAGAAAGTTGCACATGTTCTGAGAATTGTAATTCTTGATTATCCTTAAACCAGCGCACTAATGCATCACCTTTGGTCAATTCAATATCGAAAATAGCTTTCTCTCCTCTAGCTATTGTTACATCTTGCATCTTAGTAATAATTTCTGGTGGTAATTCTGAAATACATTAATTACATGTCTTATTATACTGTTCTTTATAAGTAAATATAAATATTATTTAAAGAAATAAACAAATACATACCAACAACAGTAACTTCAGCTGTACATTGTTGATTAAGTAACGTACACGTGTATTCTCCTTCATCATGAACCGATGTACTTCTGATAAGTAATTTTCTTACGGTGCCTTCTTTTACAAAGTCTAGTTTTTCATTGCTCGGTTTCAATGGTACTCCATCTTTATACCATTCAACATCGACAGTCTCAGATGTTATTTCAACTTCTAAAATTGCTGTTTCACGTTCCTTCACTTCAAAGTCTTGTAACTTTCTCGTAAACTCAGGTTTAGCAGCTGTAAAAATGAAGTATATTCATGGTTTATTTATAATCTAGAAACAAATCTAAAGTACAGTGTAATTAAGATACATACGTTTGACAGTGACAGTGCTAGATGTTGTCTGATTTTTGACAGTACACTTGTATGTGCCTTCATCTATTGCATTTGTCTTTTTGATGATCAGTTTATGAACTCGTCCTTCTTGAACAATCTCACGATGATCCATACCACTGATTTCTTTTTCATTATGCCACCATGTTGTAGAAACCGTATGTGAGGTTTCACATACAAGTTCTAGCATTTTGTATTCGTCAACTGTCACTTTTTCTTTTAATTTCTTTGTAAACGTTACTTTATCAACATCTACGGTAACTTTAGCTCCATGTGAAGCCTTTCCAACTGGATTACTGGCAACACATTTATAATCTCCAGAATCTGTTTCCGAATCAGCATTTTTAATTTCAAGAGAAATATTTTCCCCGTCGTAACTTATTTTTAGATTTGGTGATTTTTCCAATGGCTCGTTATTTCTATTGAAGTCAAATTTACACAATGTTATATACACATGTTATTTATATTTAATTATTAAAAATATATAAAATATGAATTTTTACTTGCCTTAACCAAGTTATTTCTGGGACAGGATTTCCAGTAACTTTTGCAACAAGTTTGAAGGTACCTTTTTCCGGTACTACAACTTCTTGGAACCTTTCAGTAAATAATGGTGGTTCGGGTGCACCACTTGGTATTTCTATAAATTATATACATTTTTTTTTAAAATAGAACTTTAATACTTTTCCTTGTTAAATAATAGAATTAAAAGATGAAAATATAAGCAGAAAAGTCCCATACCCTTAGAAGATAAGATGCAGAATTCTTCTTCTTGCTGTTCAATGTTAATAAGCAAGGCAGACTTGAGATGTAGAATCACTGAAATGCATATTAGTAAAGCATTTGGTAATGTTAGTGCAAAATGCTCGTCATCAGTATGAACAGATAGTTAATAGATTGTGATTGTTAAAAATGATTAAATTAAGAAGCATAATGATTCATAGAAAATGTATGTATAGCAATTATGAATGATTGAATATGTAATATGAAATATTATCTTACTTTCAACCATCAATGTTGCTTGAGTTTCAGCTTTGCCAAGATTATTAGTAGCAACGACAGAATATTCTCCTGAATTTTCTGATTTTGGTTGTATTATGGTCAATGTATTAACATGACCATCTTGTTGCGGTGTTAAATCTTTAATCGGTTTGCCATCTTTATACCATACTATTTTTGGTGCTGGATTACCAACAATTTGAGTTGATAACACAACGGTTTCTCCTTCTCGTACAACATATGATTGTAATGGTTCTAATATTTCTGGTGGTTCGTTGTCTTTAGTTTTGACCTATAATTAAAATTATATTTTAAGATTTTCTATATTTTTATTTTTATATAATTTGTTACTTACCTTCAAAGGTATTTCGATGCTAGCCTCACCCTCTCTATTTTTAGCAACAATTTTATACCTTCCTTCTTGTTTTTTCTGTACTTTAGAAATTTTGACTATACTACAATACATGTGCATATCACTTTCACTCGTGATGACAATATTTTCTTTGCTGGTTATCTGCGTATCCTTGTAATACCATGTTATTTCAGGTTCTGGTACTGCTACCAGACGACTTTCAAGTATCACATCATCACCTTCGTTGACATATTTTGCTTTTGGTTTTCGAGAGAAAGTTGGTGGAATTCCTTCGAGAATATCAGCAAGGGAAGATTCTCTGTAAAGAAAATGAGATAATTAATTAATCTTTTAGCTATACGACAAATTTTAACCCTCACTGTGCATGAACTTATCATAATTGGTAAAAATTATTAGCAAATTTAAATACCTCGACAAACTTTTCCTGGATGGTCCAGTTAAGTCTGAACCATGGTCAGATAAAGGAGCTTCCACTATTAATTCCGTCGTGCTAGATGCAAATCCTGCAGTATTCTTGGCAACGCAAGTAAATGTACCTGCATCTTCGGGGAAAACTTCTCTGATAATTAAAGTTGCTACATTATCATCATCATAATAAATTTGGAAGTCTGGTGATGGTTTAATGATGGCTGTTTGGCGGAACCAAGTTATTTGAGGTCTTGGTACACCTTCTACTTGACATTCGAATTGTACTGTATATCCATCCGGTGTATGAATTGGTTGTAATTTTTCAATAAATCTTGGAGCAGATGCCTTTTCTCCTGGTGCTGGTTCTATATTCAAAATTAACAATATTAGTTTTATTATTTCAATCATTTTACTATGGTTTTTTCAATATAACGGAACTTACTTTCAAATACAGGTAATTTGTCGATCTTTTCGTGTAATTTACGTTGTAAATAAATAGTGTAATGTACTTCATCTAACAAATATTGCGCTGGTACCCATCCTTTTTCTTCTGTTAAATTTTTCTTTACAAACCACCAGTCTTGATTTGTATGATCTAAAAAATACAATATAATTATACGCGTATGTTTTTTATTATTTATTAAATAGTTATAATTTATAAGTGTGTAATGCTTACCAATTATGTATACTTTTTCACCTTCAACAAGATTAATTGCTTCATCTGTTTCTGCTACGTATGAACAAATTGAATACATCGTATCACCATCACGAACAACATACTCCACATCTAAAAAAAATGATATAAAATTTAATAAAATAATGTATATTTTTATGTGTGAGTATGCTTATGATTATATTTTACCTTCTTCGTAAATATCTTCTTCCCTGGTGATGCTAAGTGTTGCTTCTTCTGTAATTTTACATTTTAATGTGAAATGTCGTACAACAAAAATGAATTAATTATTAAATGTAGCTAAGCAACTGTTATTTATAATATAATGACGATGATAGTTCTTATTGTTTATTTATTTATTTATTTTATTTTTATTTTTAAAACCGATATGCTTTTCATCGCAAGTTTTTTAGTATGAGGATCGAATGAAATTTTGGATACCTAAAGAAGGAATGATGTATTCGCGATGTTAACTGGAACTGAAATATGTTAGAAATAACGAATATTTATGATGAAGCTGAAAGTATATATATATATATTACATAAAAATGAAAATATTAATTGCAAAAGCGAACAATGGTACAAAGTATATTATCAAACCTTCATCGTAAGTAGATGGACGTCTTTTAGCTTTTAATTTCAAAGCCAAGGATTCATCTGTTTCCTCGTACGAGTATTTTCTTTCACGTTTCAGTTTCATTTGTACATCTCCTTCCTCGAATTCTTCTACAGAGTATGGACGAGGTTGTTTCTTGACTTTTCTTCTCAAAGGAAGTTTCATTTCATCGGTTTCCAATTCTTCAATACTATATTCACCTTTACCCTCTTCATCAGATTCATCAATGATTTCTTCTATGACAGGACCAGAATCATCTTCAACTTCTTGAATAAGTCGAATCGTTTCTTCACCAGTTTCTTCCGAATATGTCATTGGACGTTTCTTTGGTTTTAAACGAACTTTACCAGACATAGAAATATCTTCTTCTTCGTATGTGTTAAGTGAGATTTTAAACTCTTGTTCAACATCTTCTTTAGTTTTGGTACGGCGTGGTCTAAATGTTACGTTTTCTACCTCAGTAACTTCTTTAATATCTGTTCTAGGTTTTCTTTTAGGTCGTAATTTACGTAATGTAACATCTTCATACAATTCTTCGACTTGTTTAGGTGCTTGTTTCGGTGGTTTACGTTTAATTGTAAATTCACCAATCAATTCTTCTTCCACCGGTTCTTCTATTTCTTCCTTCCGTTGGATCGTTAATTCATCTGCTTCTTCCTCTTCTACTTTAGGTTTAACTTCTTTCTTTTTCTTTAACGTGATATCAGCTTGCACTTCATCCTCCTTCGTTACTTTTTTCTCTGCTTTCTTTAAAGTTACTTCAGTTTCTTCAATTTCTTCAGTAACAGATGGTTTTTTCTTTGGTTTCTTTTTCAGAGTAATTTCTTCTACTGGCACTTCTTTTTCCTCTTCAACAACAACAGGTTTCTTAATAGTTACCTCATCAGCAGCTTCTTCAGTTACTGGCTTCTTCTTTGGTTTTTTCTTAATTGCAATTTCTTCAGTAACTTCTTCAGGAGCCTTTTCTTCTTTTTTTGGTTCCAGTTTTTTAATTACAACCTCTTCAGTAACTTCTTCAGGAACTGGTTCTTTCTTTGGTTTCTTTTTCAGAGTAATTTCCTCAACTGGCTCTTCTTTTTTCTCTTCGACAACAACAGGTTTCTTAATTGTAACCTCATCAGCAGCTTCTTCGGTTACGGGTTTCTTTTTAGGTTTCTTCTTTATCGCAATTTCTTCAGTAACTTCTTCAGGAGCCTTTTCTTCCTTTTTAGGTTCTGGTTTTTTCAAAACTATTTCCTCTTCGACTTCTTCGGGAACTGGTTCCTTTTTCGGCTTTTTCTTTAATGTGACCTCTTCTATCACCTCTTCTTTTTTCTCTTCTACAACAACAGGTTTCTTGATGGTCACCTCATCAGCAGCTTCTTC